TTCTTGATTTAGCCTTGTTTTATATATATATATATATATATATATGTATATGTGTATGTTGTGTATATGTTTGCATTCTGTGAGAGGACTTGCTTTTAATGTCATTGTACATGGATACAGTATAATGACAATAAAATGCATTCATTCATTCAAAACTAGTAAGATTTAATATCTGTGTTCACTGGCTAGAAGTGCTATTGCACAGTGACACACAAGGCTAAATCAAGAAAATGAAAGCAAGCAAAGGGCCTCATAGAGAATTTAAAAAAACTTTAAAACAGATATTCTAGGAGATTTTTCGAAGGCTTTGTTCTTGTTGCATGGTTAGCATACTTGATAAAAATGTGTCTCCCCAATAAGCTTTATATAAGACTTACGCCCTGTAAAATTTATTTTGTGAAAATATCTTTCTTAGCCTAAATATGAAAAAAAAATTTAATTAAAACATAAAAAAAACAAGTAGACTAAACTACGGTTTTAGCCTTTTTTAACGCAAAGGTTTTTGATGTATTAATCCAAGATACTTCACTTAGACTTCCTTGAATGTCATTGTTAAAATGCATGTTTTCATCAACTTATTTAAATGTTGTTCTCGTTTCGGGCAGCACGGTGGCACAGTTGGTAGAGCTGTTGACTCTCAGCGAGAAGGTCGCCAGTTCAAATCCCGACCAAGGACCTTTATGGGTGGAGTTTACATGTTCTCTCAGTGCTGCGTGGGTTTTCTCCAGGTACTCCAGTTTCCTCCCACAGACCAAAAACATGCATGTTAGACTGATTGGTAACTCTAAATTGTCTCTAGGTGTGAGTGAGAGAGTGAATGGTTGTTTGTCTCATTTGTCTCTATGTGTCCCTGTGATGGACAGGAGACCTGTCCAGGGTGTCCCTCATCTCTCGCACAGTGATAGCTGGATATGGGCACCAGTGACCCACGTGACCCAAAAAGGAATAAGCGAGTAAAGATAATGGATGGATGTTTTCTTTTCAATTAAGGATATTGGGGGCCCGATAGAGATTTCCAAGGGCCACTTTTGGCCCTTGGGCCATATATTGCCCACGTATGGCCTAGACCTTCACTACTTGGTTAAGTTTTCTTGTATTTTGAGGTGCTTCTCTACGGCCTTGGCTGAATCGACTAGAAGACCTCACTAAATCAGGCAGTTGGTAGTAGGAAGCTAAAACAGTGATTGATCTCTCTTAGCAAAACCACAATTGAGATATTTTTCTAGGATAATTTCTGAATTTTCAATTCAAGTCAATTCAGTCTATTTATATAGCGCCAAATCACAACAAAGTTGTCTCAGGGCACTTTACAGGAACATTCACATACATAAAAGCCAATTAGTAAATTTCTCTATCTAATGAATCCAGCAGACAAGTTGAATCTTGGCTTTGTTGCAGTCTCCCATCCTGAGCAAGCACAGTGGCCACAGTGGAAAGGAAAAACTCCCTTTTAAAAGGAAGAAACCTCCAGCAGAACCAGGCTCAGGACAAGCGGCCATCTGCTTTGATTCATGTCAATTTGATTCAGCTAATGCACGAGCAAATGCCAAGCCCTTACACCATGTTCATAGTAACCCTGTCTAGCCCCCAGTATACTCCTGTGTCTGTCTGTGCCAAGGTACGTGCGTAAGTACGCGGAAGGTTGAGACTTCATACTCGAGCGTCCACCCTGAGCGGCTGCAGAGCAGCTTCACAGACAAGTGGCATTTACCTTCGGGACAAATTGAGGTAATCGATTGGTCATTTGCTGACACTCCTACTGGATTGATTGACAGGTTTGAAAAAAAAAAACGAGAGCTGGCAGCTCCAGCCGCAGCGGTGTTCTGTGTTTATATGTTGTTAATAAAAAGTTCTAAAAAAATTAAAGCTTCAAGCAGCAATGTAGGGGGCACACTCGAGTCAACTGTTAAATAACAGCATAAATGTATATAGAAATGCTCACTGATCACGCACCAAAAATCTTGTGCAGATTGAATAATAAATCATTGAGATATAACAGTTTGACTAATCTAGGGGGCGCACTTGTGTCAAATGTTAAACAACAGTACCAATGTGTCTAGAAATGCTCACAGATGACACATAAAAAAAATCTGGTGCGGATAGGATGATGTATCATTGAGATATAACTGTTGGAATAATCTAGGGGGCGCACTAGAGTCATATGTTAAACCATAAAATCAATGTCTCTAAAAGTCCTCACTGATGACGCACATTAAATCTGGTGCAGTTCGGATGTTGTATCACTGAGCTATAACTGTAGGAAAAATGTAGGTGGCGCTGTGGAGGCTATTGGACAATTATCATGGATTCCTGTTCAAGGGTCGGATAATGATTGATCATAGTGATTTTGGTGCACCTCGGCTTAAATCTGTGCAATTTAGAGCCAAACGTATTGTAACGGCATCACTTCTGAATTTGGTACACCGCCACACCCACATCCTCCAGCAAAAACAGTTTGTGCTTTAAAGCAAGTCAGACCAACTTGCTAAATGTCTTCTAACACAGGATCATCCTGATTAGGTCAAGGATGACCGAGAGGAAGCATTCCAAGAAAAATCTGTTCTGAGGGGGCGGGGCTTTGATGATGTCAGAATGACTACAAAGGATCGTCAGGCATCGGACAGGGATAACTCATGCCAATTTTGGTGCGTTTCGGTCTTTCAATGTGAAAGTTGTAGCGTTTGGAAATTTATGGCTTGAAGCTCAACTTTGAGGCCTGGCCACGCCCCTTTAACATATACGAAAATGCAAGCTTTTGATAACTTTTACTCCCCAATGTGTTAAGGGCATATTAACCAAGACTGAAGGCATTCCATCAAAATCCCTAGAAGGAGTTTGTTAAAATGCTCGATTAGAAACGGACAAATAAGACACTTAGACCCAAAATGGCGACTTCCTGTTGAGTTTGGACCAAGAGACTTTTTCATAGGTCCTGAGAAGATAAATGGACTGTAAATGGACTGTACTTATATAGCACCTTTCTATCTTATTTCAAGATACTCAAAGCGCTTTTACACTAGAATCTGTGTCCTCATTTACCCATTCATACAGCACTCTACTAGATCTCTCAAAGCTAATTGAACAAATCATTCTAATGAGACTAATCAGTGCTTTTAGATCACATTCATACATTGATGGGACACACATCAGAGGCTATGAGGGGTTCAGTGTCTTGCCCAGGGACACTTCGGCATGTGACCGCTGATGGATTCGAACCCCCAACTCTCACATTGGAAGATGACTGCTCTAACCATTCAGCCACAGCCACCCCGATTCAGCCACAGCCTCCCCGATACAGATACAGATGTTCACCAAGTTTCAGAATTATCGGTCCACAAATGGCTTGGGGCTGAGGTTTTAAAATATTTTAGGGGGCACTGTGGAGATTTTTGGCCTCTTATCATGGCTTCCTGTTCAAGGGGTGGATAATGATTGATCATACTGTTTTTTGTGCACCTCAGTTCAAAACTGAGGAATTTAGAGCCAAATGTATGGCGACAGCGTTACGTCTTACTTCGCCACGCTGTGCCGCCCACATGCTCCACCCAAAACTGTCAGTGTTGGAAAGTAAATTAAACCAACATATCTTCGGTCACTGGACACACTATCATGCTGATCAGGTAACAGGGGTCAGATAGGAATCATTCAACGTAAAACTTTACACTTCCTGTTGTCAGGGGGCGTGGCTTAAGTGATGTCATGATTTGACCATTCAATCTTGCAGGGGACTGGATGTGGATAAATGACTGAAGGTTTTATGTGTCAGACAATTTTCCTGTAGGAGCTCTTAGCGTTTTGTTTTTCATGGCGAGAAGTCAAACTTTGAGGTCTGACCCCGCCCATTCAGCATGCTCCGAAATGAACCGTTTAGATAACTTTGCGTCCCCCGTGCCTTTTGACCAAAACGGCCAAGTTTGAAACCGATTGAGCGAAATCCCTAGGAGGAGTTTGTTCAACAGCATC